TTCATTCTAAAAATAGAAAAGACGAAACATTCAGCGGATGTCAGCACGATATATTTGTTTTTTTCTCTCAGACCTGTGCAACGTACACATAGTATAAACGTCTAACTACTTTGCCGGAATAAGCGTGGGCAGGTGCTTACAAAAAAGTAAGCCCTCTAAGTTTAAATATTCATTCATAAATACGATCCGCGTTGGATGTGTCGACAACAAGCTAATGTTATTGTACTTATTTTAAAGTTAATAAATGAAAAGAATTAAAAAAAAATGGATGGTAAAACAAATCAATAAATTCCTTTGACAAAAATCACGTGTTGGGCACAATACTAGCCTATTATTATACGTTGAACGTGTTAAAAAAACAAGGCCCTCATGTACCTACGCTTGGCAATTGCCGTCCGTAGCCGTCGCAATGTCGATCGCAAAATACGCTCCCGGCTGGACTTTTTTTCCGATTTTTTTCGTTTTCTCCAACAGTTTTGTCTTTTCACACTCCGTTCGCGCCCGAATCGTGTAGTTGACGTCTTTCTAAAGCCGTCTATATGCTCTTTTCCCTCGAAATCGGTTCGTCACGCCGTCGACCGACCGACTGTACGCGTATATATACATGTATATACGTGTAATGTGTATCATTTAATTTTAGATTCTGAGTGGAACGATGAATGTATTGATTTTACAATGATGTGTGCAGCTAGCACAATATTTGTTTTCTCTCTCAGACTGACGTGCAAACGTAGATAAAAATTCACGGAAAACCATTTTTTTTATGATTTTTGAATAACCTATTATTACTGTAGTATATTTAATATTGCATATATATACATAGATTTCTCTACCAATAATTATTAAATTACATAATACACTATTGTCTATTGACTATTACTTAATAACACAACCATTTAGAATAAAATCTACTAGTACAGCAAGATCACTGCAGTACTAACCATGGTCAGCAAAATTTAATTATTTTAAATTTATACCAGTAACCTACAATGATGACAATGAGGCGAAAGGAAAAAAAAATTCTTAAATCGAATTTATGACTTCTAAATTTTTAAATATTTTAATGTACAGAAAAGGAAGATAGGTAATTTTTTATAATGAAATATAGGTAATTGTTTAAAATTATTAAATTTACCCAGCTCTTCAGAATGCACAACGAATAGTAAAGTGCATTCGGCATTGTTGATTTTTCCAATAAGTATATCCATCGTCGTCTTTGTATTTAAGTCCTGTGCCTCTGGAACCACCAATCTCACGAATAACTTTCTCCATTATTTAATTAAATTATCGTGTTTTATAATTTATTTTGAAAATATTATAAACACTATAATAACTAGAGCTCGGATGTTTATGACTTGGCATATTTTTTTCGTGCAGCCAGAATTACACCGGAGTGGGATACAAATTGGATTCATGAAGTCTATATTACAAATATGCAACTTTTTTTTGCATATTTTTGCATAATATATTGATCATTTATAGATTTAATGGCATATTTATCTCATACTCACATATTTATTAATTATTTTATATCACTACGTAGGTATACACGAATCTCGTAATCGCCTGTCGACGACCATTATCTTATCGCATATCGTTAATAGATTAATATTATAGCCTAGGTAAGTATATATTGTATAACAGTATAGATTGACTGCTTGGGTGGGTTTTATCTACATTTTCGACGAGTTTATATTTTGTTGACATCAGTGGCGGTTTTTTGAATTTTTTCTGGGGGGGGTCCTTTAATATTATCTTATAATGTATAAAGACAAAAAAGTTTAACCCATGAATAATTACTAAATAAAATTTAATTCTTACATAAAAAAAAAAAAACAGCATTTTAGTTACAACTACCTATTATAACACAAAATCAATTTTTCGTTTTTTTTTTTTTTGCTAATTCGTCCAAAACTTCGTCAGTCGTTAATTGTAAATCCTTATGTATACACATCATAGCCAGACCATTTAATCTTTTCTGAAATATTTAATAAGCAAATTATATTTAATATTGTAAAATATGAATTATGATTTCCTTTATTATTTACCTACTTACTTCTCCAATGGTGTTCCTCAAATAAGTTTTTATTCTTTTAAGATTTGAAAAAGTACGTTCATTAGATGATGTTGAAACTGGTAATGTGGCTAGTATTTGAAGAAGTTTGTATATATTAGGATAAATTTCATTATTACAAAACGATAAAGCTTGGAGTGCATTAGTTGGCTCTTCTTTCAAATTTTTTAAGCACCTTTGCCACAATTTGTATTCAGCCATCAAAATTGCATGGTTTCCATTTTCCAGATCATCTTGGTAATAATTAACCAATGTCATAAAGTCGTCATCTAATTCTTCTTTCGAAAATAAAGAATGAAAAGAGTTTAATGTAGTTTCGTGATCAATAAATCTTTTATTGATATATTATTATTTTTATTATAATGCTTTTTAAAAGCATTTAAAGATCGAATTTTGACAAAATTTATCAAAATCTTTAAAACTATCAATCATTGTAATTAATAAATTATAAAATGTTCAGTTTTTATAGCTAAAGATTGCAAATTTAAAACAAAGGTTCTCATAAATAGTTCATACTGTAACCAAAAAAACTAAAAAATATATGAACACAGTTATTTTTTACAGACATTTTAAATTCAAATTTGGACAAAATTACATATTAAAATCAATATTAACGATCTTGGTTTTTTGTTGTAATTTAAAAATATTATTCGGGGATATATGAAACTGAAAAATCAAAATATTATGGCCTATCCATACAATCTAACATAGTATAAGGAATAGGAAGTATGCTCAATGATAAGGCTGTGCATATTTTAAGGTGCAACGAATAATTTATTCATAAATTCCATATAATTTAATACCATATAGATAAGTATATAATATGTCTTATACCTAGACTGACATACCGTCTAATCTCAGAATCGTTTTTCTTATACAATGATATTCTACCATTGAATTAAAATTTAATATCATCCATTATACAGTGACCCACTTGTAACCTACAGTACAGCAGAGCGACATCCACTTACCCACTTTTTTTTTTTAAATTTTAAAATTTTTTTTGTGTCTGTGTACACGTTAAGTAGTCGAAATAATGCTTCGATTTTCAACTTCAGTATCTTGTTCGATTGGAAAGTGAATATCGTTGGTTCATTGGGTAGGTCAAAATTTAAATTTCCCATTAGTTTTCAAAAGCGCCATGAAAAACAAAAGAAAAATTAAGGAAAAACGGGAATTTTTACGCAAAATCTGTTTTCGAGAAAATCGATTTTGGTTTTTGGTGTAACTTTTAAACAAATGACCGTAGATACATGACATTTTCAATGGTTGTTTATATTTGCATTTTATATACACCATAACATTTTCAAAATATTTTGATTTATTTTGAACTGTGTAGGGACATTTTCAGTTTCCAATTTTATTAGTTTTTTTTTTTATGAATATCAATAAAAATTTATTTGTTGAGAAAAAGTACTTGAAATTTAATATAAGGCTCCTACTATATTATTTCAAAGACAGATGAAAAATATTGAAAATCGTTAGTCACAGAAATTACAAAATATGGAAAAATCACTAAAATTTACAAATTATTTCGAGTTAAAAATTTATAAAAATTTTTGTTTTTAAATCCAAGATATGAAAATGTAAAACAAGATTCCTTATAAGATTACCTACATTTATCAAAAAAAAAAAATTCTTCAAGAAAGTCAAATTAAATTTTTATGAGCGTTTGAAATTCTAATTTTTACAACATTGGATTTTCACTCGATTTCTCATGTAGCGATTTCCTTATTTTTTTTTTTTTTTTTTTTTTTTTTATTGATCTATTTTTATTTAACAACCCGGCATCATAGGCCATTAGTTACAGTTTTTTTTTTTTGTGCTACTTTTGTTACATGCTTATATTTATATTTACATTTGCATTATATTTGTCCTATTAAATTAATCGATTTTAAAAAATTAAGTATTTTCCTGTTTTGAGCGGGATCCGGACCGAGTAGTGAATCGAGTGTTTCTGTAATGTTGAAGTTTATTCGTTCCTGTTGATAGAGTTGGCATTCCGTTAGTATGTGTTTGATGGTGAGGGGGGTCCCACATCCTTCACATGTGGGAGGTTCTTCTTTTGACATGAGATATCCATGTGTTAATCTGGAGTGCCCAATTCTGAGTCGGTTTATAGTGGTTTCTTCTTTTCGGTTAAATTCATGATTTTCCCAACTGAATGTTGTTCTTTTTATCTGGTTTAGTTTTGTGTCTTGATCGTTCCAGAGTAGATGCCATCTTTTCCTTATTTGTGTTTTAACTGCCTTTTTGATGTCGTCAACCTAACCTTATTTTGTTGTAATTCAAAAACGAATAACTGTAGATACATACATACAATTGCTTACGGTCCTGGAAAATTAATTTAATTAGATTTATCAATTTCGAAAACTTGAACTTTTTTTTAATATACTAATTTATTCTTACCTTCAGTGGCCGCTGCGATGCCGTCTCCCGTACACCGCCCTGAAAATAATTTGTTTAATTAGATTTTTGATGTTTTTTTTTAATATACTATATACTAATATACAAGGTGTATCTTATGTCATTGTACGCGGGGTTTTTTGACGATTACGGAACGATAATATGGAATTTCGTTAAAACGAAAAAAGAAGTGTTTCTTTATTTCTAACAAACATTTTTTTTTATAACAATTTCAAAATTTTTAAACACGCAGGTGTACCAATAGCAAAATCAACTTTTTTTTTTCAAATGGTAACCACTATAATTTTTAATGGATTCTTATAAAGCTTTTTTTTCTGAACATTTTGGTAGTCGAATCGTCAGTTTTGGTTCGCTAGTTTATTAACTATGGTCCTCCAAAGATTAGTAAAATATGCATTAATACTTTTAATTAAAATAATGGGTATAGGTTTAATTTACAAGCGCTAAACAATTTTTTCTTATAACTACCATTTGATACACTACAATAGTTGAATCGGTAATCTAATGACACCCTCAAAAAAATAAAAAATAAAAAATAACAAACACAATTGTTTGTAAACATACTATTCATTAATTTTATTTTAACATACAATCATAAAAATCAATATTATTATTTTAATTTATTATTATAATCGTAATTAATCACTTTACATTTTTTTCATCACAGTTATTTTTCTTACAATATCATAAATTTGAATTCTTAATTAGGTAGGTGGCTAAGGTAATAATGGTAAATTGGTAAATGTTATTCGATTGTTTACATTAATATGTGCAACGAAAAAAGTGCAATGTTTTGTGGTGCTCTTTTCGTAGTGGTATAAAGTATAAACTTGATATTTTAACCATAAATTCCCTATAATGGTATCGCATCCAAAATATGAACTTAGGAGTTGTAATTCATCCCTTTCCATCCTTTTAGATTCTGAGCGGAGCGAGGAAGCTAGTGGTTTTACAATGGTGTTCATTTTTTTTTTTTTTTAATTTTTAATTTTTTAATTTTTTTTTTTATATCCTGTATACAAAATTTCTACCAGAAGGAGTGCTTTGATTTCAACATATAGTACCTTATCTTTTAGAAAATTGGACCAAGATGGTACTTAAGAGAGGTCATTTTTCGATTTTCTCAATAGTTATATAATGCCACGAGAAAAACCACCGAAAAATTACGAAAAACCATTTAAAATCGGATTTTAATTTCTAACGCTTTGTTTATCACCATAGAAACGAATAAAAAATTATAATATTAATTCAACTTACATGATATAATAAATAATAACTGTATAAAATATCCAGACTGACAAACCGTCTCAGATCAGAATCGTTTTTCTTATACAATGATATTATATTAGAAATTAAAATCCCATTTTAAGCGGTTTTTCGTAATTTTTCAGTACTTTTTCCCGTGGCATTAAATAACTATTGAGAAAATCGAAAAATGACCTCTCTAAAGTACCATCTTGGTCCAATTTTCTAAAAGATAAGGTACTATATCTTGAAATCAAAGCACTCCTTCTGGTAGAAATTTTGTATACAGGATATAAAAAAAAAATAACAAAAACAAAAAATAAACACCATTGTAAAACCACTAGCTTCCTTGCTCCGCTCAGAATCTAAAAGGTAGTGGTTTGAAATCAAACAAGAATAGGTTAAGAAAAAAAAACTGATGATCACGCTACCTGACAGACCGCTTTCGTCTCAAGATATTATAAAATATGCTGGAAAGTTGAAAATCAATCATTTCCGTGGAGTCTTTTCACGTGATAACTTACCTAAAAAACCGTACGCTATTGAATGTGGTATATTAAACTTGGATATATCTTCAGGCGATGGAAGCCATTGGGTAGCGTTTTATAAAAATAAGGACAAAGTTGTATATTTTGATAGCTTTGGTGATTTACCACCACCAATTGAATTACAACATTATTTCAGACAGTTCAAAATAGTATACAACTATTCCAACTATCAAGACTTCAATACATTTAACTGTGGTCATTTATGTCTTGAATTTTGCCTATGAATTTTGCCTCAAAATTAGTAAATGATAAAGTGCGAATTACAGCATAAATGCACGCTCATGTGCATTATATAACTCTCACTAGAAGCAACAGAATATTAGTGCTAAAATGGCATACAAAGGGAAAATGACACTTAAAGACATGACCAAACTTAGAACCCCTTTCATACAAATATTACAAAAACCGACACTGACATATGAACAAAATATGGCATTTACTCAACCACTTAAGCAACAGAATACCACTGCTGAAATTACACGAGGTCAGAATAAAAATCGCAACAATATATCATGACGCAAATCAGAAAAAGTTAGATACATGAACCTACATAAATTCTGTACTAACTTACAAAGTCGTAATGCCAAATATTTCATTAATCACTATACTAAGCAACTATAAAGTACACAGCGGAAACACATCCTCCGCGCATACACACAATGTAACATTCACTAACAAAATTAATCCTAAAATATTGTACAAAGGGACGATAACAACATTCATGAATACGACATAACAAAAGGTTGTATTCGTGCAAATAGTGCCAAAAAATCAACGACAATTTGCAAAATATGACATAAAATGTACGCACATGCGCGCTATACGACATTCGGTCAAATAACCAGAGATCACATATTATAACAAATAATTCACATATAACAAAAGCGAACAATCAATTCTGACATCACGTGATAGCAATAGAGTGGGGATAAAACAATCGCTTCCTTATATAAGCGCAATGCATAGACAATAGACTACACTCAGTGCAACACTGCAGATCATCACAGATGAGCACGTCAACGAAACCACACAACACCGAAAAGTTTTTCTTTTAACACAAAATTTATCTTTTTTTATAAAGTTAACTTAGTATTTCGTTTGTTCTAACACCAGGATATTGTATTGTAAATCGTAAATAACGTGCATTGACTCATACCAATCAGAGACTTACACATTCCAACGAGAGTCTACACATCTTGCTCACTAAAACACGAGGTAAGTGAATGTACATTTGTTTTACGATTGAAGACAAATTATCAATTCGGTACTCAAGTACTCAACTAATAATATTCAGTAGTAATATAATAATATAGTATTATATAATATAATATAGCTACACCCTTTTTAATCTGCCACCTTGCTGAGCATTTCCCCTAATCTCCGTCAATTCATTATTTTATCTCAAACATTATTTTTAACGATAGTAATCGTTGTGTTATACTAGACACTATTACACGTAAAACATACTCCGCTTTACCACCTACTCTGTTTTTCGATCGATAGCATTCCTAGTGCTATAAGTCAATATTCTGAATTTCACAAAAAGAGTTATCACGGAAATCGGATCTATAGTTCGTTTTTGTAGTTGATTATATAGAATATCAACATGTGTCATTAAATAATGAAACACTCTTAACCAAAATATAAATTTATTATCATTTAACATCCGATGCAAAGCTCCAGCTTTTTTAATTGCTATGGTTTTATTAAATGTTGATTTAATTTCTTTCATACGTTAAATTAACTGCTCACTATTCTCATACACAGTATTTACTATTCGACTTTTAAAATTCCATCTAGTATTAGATGATCGAGGAACTCTGTGTTTAACAATTGCATCTAAGATCCCAACCCGCTGAGGATGGATGGAACAAAAATTGTTATACCAGTTAAGTTTTAAAAATTTTCCTTATACCACGATGTTGTAAAGTTGCTTGAATTAAAATTAAATTAAGCTGATGAGCATAGTTACGTATGAAATGTGTATTTTTATAGCTATTATTAATTATTATTTAGTGTACAAAATTGAGACGTCCTCTCATGAGATTTGCGCCGTCGTAACTCTGACAAATCAACATTTCTGACGTTTCTATGACTTTTTCCAAATTGAATATTATGCATTCAGACAACGATTTCGTATCGTGTCCAGTACTATTGAAAAATCCCCAAAATTTTTCTACTGGTGTTCCATCCGATAGTACATATCTAAATATTATTGACAATTGAAACTGAGTAGATACGTCAGTTGTTTCGACAGCCATTATAGAAATATACTCTGCTTGTTTTATTTCATTCTTATTACTTTGTTGACATACTGCTAAACATCATTCTAGTAAATCATTTTGGATTGATTTGGATAAACCTTTAAACACCTTAGAGTTCTCAATATGACATTTTAGTACCTAATCTAACTCTGAACTAAAGTTTATAAGACCTCGAAATACACCAGGTTTTTCTAAATTTGGTTTTTCATCGTAGCCTTGGAGTGCAAGTTCAAATGCTCCACAAAATGTAATAAAATTTTTTATTTTATTCAATACACAACGATTATTACTTATTCTTTCATTGTATTGTTTGATATTCAACCGATACGCACTAGAAAATTGTTGTTGTATGTCTTGTTTTCCTAATATTTTTAAATTGAATTGAGAATTTATGTGTCACATTGATTTTTCATGTGTTTTGGTTTTAGAAGTTATATGAATTAAATCATTTATTCCATTCTTTACCCAAGCGGCATCATTAGATTTTCAACCAAAAAGTAGAAATTGAAAACAATACAAACGATTAATTTCTAAACAACCACAAATCCAGTCAAGGGTTTTATACATATCATTTTTAAATTTTCTTACATATTCTCTCGCTTTACATTTAGTAATTTGTTTAATATTTAGGTCTGGAGTAGGCCTACTTTTATTTTTTATTTCCATCTTCTTCTCCAACGAGATTGTTGACAAATCGCATTGCTGCATTTGCTGTACTGAATTAATTTTGAAAATTGAAAAAAAACACTCTAATAATAATATTCTTTAATGTCGGTAGTCGATAGAATTCTATTCAAATATCTGATAATGATCAACTAACAGTATTTATAAGCTAATAATCGGAATATAATAAACGAATGAGAATAAAAATAAATTAAAATGCCTATGCTGACGCGCAATGAAAACAATTTAATTGGTTATGTGCACAGAACGAGTGTGCACACCAATTCCATTATAACGTGGGTTGCATGTTTCGACTTGTTTTAATTTTTTACTTGTTTTTATTTTACCTGCACGGGCTACGTTGAATAGTACTATTATAACTATTTACAAGGCATTTTCATTATTGGAAATTGTAGCATTAATGAAAGCTGCGGGAAATTGATTTTAAAATGTTATGATAAATTATGTCTTGAAATTTAACGTTGTTACTTGCGATTCTACTCTAAGACTACTTAAAAACAGAGAAAAAGTGATTCTATGTTATTGCATTTTGTGTATGTTGCGCGTAGGCCAGACACAGAATACAAATAATGCCTTTTAAGGAATTTAATATTGTAATAGGCAGTGGAGTGATTGCGAGGGTGTGAATAAAAGTAGTGAATAAAATGTACATAATAATAATCAAATTCAAATATAATGTAATATTAATTTTATTAGTAATATTTTTTAAATAATTATTAAATTTAATAGAAATTTCGTTTTTTTGGAATTTTTGTACAACTTTTTTCAAAATGCACTTTTTGACAGATTACCTTATTATACATAATATATAACATGTATGTATTGTATGTTTACAGACGCTCAACCACCACATCGCTACTCGTACAAATATCAGGCGTACCTCTTGAGATATTTATACACCTTGTGCTGTACGTGCCAATAAATATGAAAGCAATATATTCTGTGTTTTTTTACATATCGTTAGCAATTGCATTATGTTCACCCAATGTTTCCACGTTCTGTGGAAACAATGAACAGATCGACGATTTGCAAACCGCTTTAATAATTTATGAATCCACTTACGATGTAATGTCAACATTGTCCGCTATACCGTTAACAAGTGTGGCGTTAACGATCGTACAAGTAACGTCGGCCGGTCAGTTTGCTATGCGTTTGAAGGAAGCGTTTGAAGAAATGGAGAGTTCGTTGAATAAAGATCATAAAGACTACAGAAAATGTTCAGAAATATTGGGAAAAAACAGTAGCAGCAACCACAGCCATCAAGTCAGCTAGTGCTGGGTTCTCTCTTATGTCAATGATACCGGGTTTCGGTTTGGCACTCTTAGCTCCGAGGATAGCTTCATCGATATATGCTATGTTAATTATAAGAGACACTTTAGAATTTTGGCAGAGTAATGATTGCCAATATGCTACAACGAGAGATTGTGATTTATAGGTGAATCAATAAATTAATATTAATGATATGATTTCATTGTAATAACGATAATAATACCTATATATTAGTTCAATGATAAAATAAATATTCTAAACTATACCGTATTATGTTTGATATCATTTATTAAAAAACTATCTTTTAGAAGTTAGTGAATCTATTTATTACTTGTATATTTTTATCTACTTAATGTTCAACACTGGTTGCAGGTATACAGTATTATGGCTGTAGTCAGTACAAAACGTATATGTGTTATAGTTTCATAATATTCATCATATTATTATATTATTATTTTTATTTATTATAAAGTCCTAGTTGCGTTTCTTGATTTAAAAATAGTTTCGTTTACAATTTTAGATAATATAATTGTACAATATAAGACCGTGTGGTGATACCACTTAGGTACGGATCATCAATCTATTATTTTTTTTCACGAAGCGAACGTTTTGTATTATTAGGTATAGGTAATATTTTATTATAATTGTTAGGTGATTAAGCTTCCGTGTGCGTTCTAAATATACATAATAATGTAATATACATGACTGTTATGGTCGCCCACTTTTCAAAATTATAATTACAGAAGTCAAAATATACATTTGAATCATGCACAATATTTTTTTTTTGTCAAATGTATTTTTCTAGTACTGCTTAAAGTAAAATTAGTATACAGGCTTTGACCCGACCTAAGTCGGAGATTACTCTTCTTTTAAATAAAAAATAATCAAAATCGGGATATTTTCCTGTTACAATACACCATATTAACCCTATCCCTCTCCTAAATAGTTATCGACAGAAGATAAGTGAATAAGTATTATAATTATGGTTGCAATTAAAATATAAAATTGAATTTAAAAATTCTATAGAATTGTTGAAAATTGTAAAAACCGTCATCGACAACCTTAAGGTTAAATTAGGGTTAATCTAATAATTAATCTAAATTAATTTTTTAGCAATATATAATTTGGTATACACGTAATCAAAACACATATTCCATATATATTGGTATTAAAGCTTATCTAATAATTAATCTAAACTAACTTTATAGAAATACATAATTTGGTACCCGCATTGCGTTCAGATATTCTGCACTTTGTCATCCATCTCTTTCTTTGGCGTCCCAGGGGTCATTTTTTTTTTTTAGGTTTCCATTCAAAAGCCACCATTAGAGGGTCATTGTGTTCTCTTCTTAAGATATGGCTTAATCATTGGATTATTTGACCTTTGATGAAATTAGTTACCGGTGCCATCGTTTCATGCAGTTCCCTATTGTAATTAATATTTGTGTAATTTATTTGTATAATATGTAGACTATTTTCACTGTACTTTCGTACAACCATGTATTGGTGCAATAAGGAAGGATTTCCCCAAAATTTCATTTTAGAGAGGTGGAAATTAAAAATGTTGTTTATAAATGGTTGCCATTGGTTACAGATAATCATAATAATTATTGTAATTCGTAATAAAATAAATAAGTACTTTTTTTGTAAATAAATAATTGCCATTTTTTACTCGGGCAGATGAAATGAAAGCATGCACCAAATCGTCGAGTTTATATAATTAACAAACTATATCTTAAAACAAATATAAACATTTATCTTTAAAATGATTATTCTGTATTATGTCTGCTGCCTTCAGACTCAAAAACTATAGATCATTTATTATATTATATTATCTTAAGTTACATGGCTAATACCCACGATTTGATTCTTTATTATTGTTATAGTGACGGCCTCGGTGTTAGTGTTTTTTGTCTGTAATCGTTTTGTTGGTTTATGGTCACATCCCCGTATTACATTTCCCCGTTCTCGTTTCCTCGTCGGACATTTCCCCCTCTGACTAATTTTCCCGTCGGACATTTCCCCGTCTAATTCAAATTTAAAATATAATTACTGTAATGTAAGCGCCCTCACAGTTATTTCCAGGCTTGGGATTGGCAACTCATACTTCATACGTAATGAATTGGCGGTTTACACTTTCTTTTTTGTTGTTACCTTAAAGTTAAAACTAATAAAACTTAAAAAAGTTATGTCTGTTTATTTATATCTAACATATTAAAATTAAAAAACTAAAACTAAAACCTACGAGCGATCACTACTATTGAGCTGATGTTAAATATTATTTTTATTAAAAATAATAATAATAATAATTTTAATTAAAATAAATATTCTAAATTATACCGTATTATGTTTGATATCATTTATTAAAAAACTATCTTTTAGAAGTTAGTGAATCTATTTATTACTTGTATATTTTTATCTACTTAATGTTCAACACTGGTTGCAGGTATACAGTATTATGGCTGTAGTCTGTACAAAACGTATATGTGTTATAGTTTCATAATATTCATCATATTATTATATTATCATTTTCATTTATTATGAAGTCCTAGTTGAGTTTCTTGATCTAAAAATAATTTAGTTTACAATTTTAGATAATATGACTGTATAATATAAGACAGTGTGGTGATACCACTTAGATACGGATCATCAATCTATTATTTTTTTTCACGAAGCGAACGTTTTGTATTAATAGGTTAAGGTAATATATTATAATGGTTGGGTGATTAAGCTTCCGTGTGCGTTATCGAATCTATGGGGCTATACATTTTTTATCCCATTACCAAATATTTTAAATGTAAAAAATATAAATTAATATAACTACTCACAATAAATAGTTATAAATTGTAGGCAACAATAGTCAATATAATATATTATTAATATACATTTTATTAATACACGTAAATGGAATATTTTATAAATAAATAGTTAATTATAATTCAATCCATTCTGTATTTGTATATTAAACCATATTAACCATATTAACCCTATCCCTCTCCTAAATAGTTATCGACAGAAGATAAGTGAATAAGTATTATAATTATGGTTGCAATTAAAATATAAAATGTAATTTAAAATTGTATAGAATTGTTGAAAATTGTAAAAACCGTCATCGACAACCTTAATTTTAAGTTAGGGTTAATCTAATAATTAATCTAAATTAATTTTTTAGCAATTTATAATTTGGTAATATACACGTAATAAAAACACATATTGCATATATACATTGGTAGGCGCGTAAGGTTTGATAGAATATCAAATTTAATATAGGTACATCATATTATAATGATATTCAACGTATAATATCTAATGTAGGTAATATATACACAACACATTATAATCAGGTTTATTTTTAGTGTATTTTGTTGTGAATTTTTCCCTGTTTTCTGACTTTGATTATTTTATCGATGAGTTTACTTATTGTTGTTTATTATTATGAGTTATGATTAGTGTGTGTGATACTATGTGTAAATGAAATAGCGGAGAGCTCGCGTACACGCCTACGTATAAGTCTCAAATGCATGCAATTTTTTATTAATCTAGGTAAAAATGTCCGAAGAAAAAATGTACACTGTAAAAATGTCCGGGTAAAAATGTCCAAGGCAAAATTGTCTAAAATCAAGAATGTCCGAGGAAAAAATGTCCGAAACCAGAAATGTCCATGGTAAAATTGTACAAAATAAATTTCAAAAATATCAAAAAGAAAAATTCAGATAATTTATATAATATTACCTAATTAAAATGTATAAAAGTCATTATTGTCGTATATTTAAAAATGTCAAAAAAAAAATTAATTTAATTTATATAATATTACCTAATTAAAATTTATAAAAGTCAATGCTATACATTTTAAAAAATTTTCAATACTTCTTTCGTTATTTTTGTACTCCTCACATATTTTTTTTAATTTTTCTGGCATACCAATATACATTTTTTTTTTTTGCCAGTGGTTGTCCAATATCTCTTTGCCCAATTTTAACTTTATCGACTCCTAATTCTAATCGCATCTTTTCTATCAGTAACCATATACTTGGATGTGATCGATTCACTAATTTAGAAAACCTGTGATTCCATCCTTCAGTTTGGTTGTTAGTGCGCTGGCCATCGTTCAACGTAACTTCGTGAACATTCCAAACTGAAGGAGGAAATGCAGCAGGGGTTCTTCTAATAACGTTACTTCTAGTATTATTTTTTATAATTCTCCCCCCTATGTAAGTTGAATCAAAATACTCCATCAACTCATTAGCTTCTTGTGGCATAATTGTTTTTAAATAAATTAACCGGGAATTTTTACCTTGGACATTTTTTCCTCGGACATTTTTGTAGAATACCATTTTTTATACCCATGGCTTTCAGATCTCCTGCGCTTCGTTATCCATCTCTTTCTGGGGCGTCCCAGTGGTCGTTTTTTTTTTTTTAGGTTTCCAAGAAAAAGCCATCATTACAGGTTCTCTTCTTAAGATAATATGGAGTAATTATTGGATTTTCTGACCTTTGATGAAAATAGTTACCGGTGCCATCGTTTCTTGCAGTTCCCTATAGTATCTTCTTCGTCAACTTTTCGTATTAAACTTTCGAAATTTTTTTTGCGCCAATAATTAGTACTCGATTCCTGCTGATTCCTGACCACGTTTTCATAATTCCTGATATAACAGTTTTCCCGGAAAGTCGAATTTTCTACGGGCGGGGTTGGGGTAATGTATGTGTTTTTGTAGGTACAGAAATAGAGGTATAGTAATAATATTGCCATCCTACGACTTTATTCTGGCATTACGTGTAGATCTTATTAGTTCGTTAACCTATAAAACAATAACCCATTATAATTCAATTATAGCAATGCCTACGTCTAGACTTTCCAGATTATTCTTCAGTTATCCAATCAGGAAATTATCTACAGACTAGACGTGCATGCGATGTCAAATTTACTTTGTTGTACCTATAGGTATATTGTATATATTATTTATAATAAATAGGTGGTATACTAGAGAGTCTTTATGTATAATTTATATATATATATATTATTATCTATGCTCTCTAGGTCGTACTCAGGCGCACGTTTACAGATGAGTGGTAATGAGAGGGTTGGGTATCCAGAACCTATAAATAATATTTGTGTAATTTATTTGAATAATATATAGACTATTTTCACTATTCTTTCATACTACCATGTAGGGGTGCAATAAGAGAGGATATCCCCAAATTCGCATTTTAGAGAGGTGGAAATTAAAAATGTTGTTTATAAATGGTTGCCATTGGTTACAGATAATCATAATAATTATTGTAAATCGTAATAGTAGGAATAAGTACAGAAACAAGTACTGTTTTTTGCAAATAAATAATTGTCATTGGTTACTTGGGCAGATGAGGTGAAAGCATGTACCAAATCGTCGAGTTTATATAATAAACAAATTATATCTTAATTTTAGTCAGTTTCGTATATTCGTCTACAAACGGTCGTTATGAAAAATTTGCAGTATGTAAATACCATTGTATGTACCTAACAAACTATAACTATAAATAACGTTGTAAAATCCAAGTGAAATCTTGGTACAATAACTGCTTATAGCATGCCAAGTATAATAATATTATTATTGTGCACAACACTGTCGTCGCTTCATTATACTTATAAACCATGTAACATGTTTTATGTATGAAAGTTTGTAAAATCCAAGAACTTTTATAAAACCTGGGTAAAATAGTCAAATATAACGCGTCGAATATTATTATATTATTGACATTATTAAACATTATACACTAGGCGTATACTATGGTCATTTGTCACCATATACTTATACCAGCTGTACAATCCGACTTGACCCGTGGAAAAGTAGACAATTAAGTAATATGAAACATGGAGTTAGTTATATCAATTGTGTATTATATCTCGGTTTTATTCTACCTCATTTCGCATATTAATAGCTCTTGGCGTTGGCTTATTTCCGAACGTGGTTCTCTAAACTTTTATGTTATCTCTAAGAACAATCTCTGACATTTTCTTCAAAAGCGGTACAGTAGTTTTTGAGTCTGAAGGCAGCAGACATAATACAGAAGAATCATTTTATAGATACACTTTTATATTTGTTTTAAGATATAATTTGTTTATTCGAGGCAATAAACTCAAATATTTGGTGCATGCTTTCACCTCATCTGCCCAAATAACCAATGGCAATTATTTATTTACAAAAAAAAAAAGCAATTATTTCGGTACTTATTCCTACTATTACGAATAACAATAAATATTATGATAATCTGTAATCAATGGCAACCATTTAAAAACAACATTTTTAATTTCCATCGTCCACCTCGAAACCCATGTGCTCACACAACTCTAAAATACAAATTTGTGGAAATTTTCTCTAAGTGCACTCCTATACGAAAGTACCATTAAAATAGTCTATATAAATATTATACAAATAAATTACACAACTATTAATTTTCGGTGGGAGATCCCATCCCACTAATCTGTAAACGTGCTTGAGTACGACCTAGAGAGCATAGATAATAATACATATATAATTTTTGTATAAAGGGTCTCTAATATACAACATATGTATTAAAATTTATAAATAATATATACAATATAATATAGGTACAACAAAGTAAATTCGCCATCGCATGCAGGTCTAGTCTGTAGATAATTTCCTGATTGAATAACTGAAGAATAATCTGGAAAGTCTAGGCACTGCTGGAATCGAATTATAATGGTTTACTTTACCTATTGTTTTAAAGGTAAACGAACTAATAAGACCTACACGTAATGCCACAATAAAGTCGTCGGATGATAACATTACTACTATACCTCTTCTTCTGTACCTACAAAAACACAAGAAACCCGGTGGTCGACAAAAAAAAAGAAAAACAGAAAAACAATCGACATATTGTGTAAACCTAATAGGTTTATAAGTATTTGATATTATTAAACGATTACAGACAAAAAACACAAACACCGAGGCCGTCACTATAATAATAATAAAGAATCAAATCGTGGGTATTAGCCATGTAACTTACGATAATATAATATAATAAATGATCCATATTGACAATATTATGGATAAAAAAGTAGTTAACCGTATTATGATATAGCAATATTACCAACTAAATCTACTTAGTAAGTATATAAATTATACAAAATAAGTAAACCACTTTGAGTTCACGAAGTTGATACGGGCACGAATGTTTAAAATTGAATATTGTTGAAATATACAATTAATATTAGTATTCAAACCCTGTAAACACACGTGCGTGTACAATGTCGTTTTCTAATAGATACTTACCTATGCAGTTAAGATATAGCTGTGCAACACCTTTACTATCGCTTTCTATATTATATACGGATACGGGATGGCCTTGATTGTTCATATAAATAGGGAATTTGATGTATGTAATACTCACTTGCACGGACGCTATCATACCGAGTGTACGTGGTGTGTGTGTATAGTCACAGTTTAATTGTCCAGTTGTACGTTATTATATATTATACTTATACATAATCATATTGTCGTGTTATTTCCAATCTTGTAAAAAGATACTTTTAATTTGTATTTAAATAGAGATACAAATACATCAACTTAAAAAGTATTTAAATAGTATTTTAAGTACTTTCTTCAATAAGTATTTAAGAACAAATACAAATACTTAGAAAGTATTTAAACACAAATACTTATTTTAATACATTTGTTTTAAGTTTTACCTTTGGCTTCAATACTTTTTCTCTGATATTTTAACTTTAAATTTGACCATGAGATCAAACTCATTCAAACTGTACATATTAATTATTATTATATAGTTAATACTTAATAGTTCATTTATTATAATGCATGTTCCATATTCTGGTACTAACCAAGGTACCTATAATTGTATGATAAGTTAATAATCACCGAATGATCGTTTTAATTATTTATTGTATAAGAACTAAATATAGATATTATAAGAACCTTTATCTCCACAACAAACCAAGCTTCTGGAGAAAATAATTTATATATAAATGCTATATTTCTGTACCTACTAGGTACTACCTAGTGAAAATATTTGTATTAATGTATATATTACGTATGTATACTATTCAATTATTCAACAGGAAAAAAATAAGATCATAGGTAAACGTAAAGTCGTAAACCGAATCAGCTGATCGAGTTTCAATTCATTATTGTTCTATGTTCATAGTTTGGAGTTTCAAATAATTCACATCACAATAAACTAATATAGGCTTCAATGAAAAAAAAAACAATAATATTTTACATTTTAGGAGGCTATGTCGGGAATAAACTTACTAAATTTCAATGATATTACTCATGACTATATTATTATTTAGTCATGATATTACTTTGATTTCTGAAAAAAAAGATAATAAATAATCATTATTATTATTGAAAAAAAATCGATAAAGTATTTAATTTTCAAATACAAATACGTCCAAAACCGTATTTAAAATACTTTTTCCAAATACTTTATTCAAAAAGTATTTAAAAAGTATTCTAAATACAATAAAAGTATTTAAATACATTTACTCAAATACATTACAAGACTGTCTATTGCGATATGTGATGTTTCTCTTTACTACCCACATACATTTATGTGATGTTCTGGAGATGCCAAATGCCACGTTGAAGGAAATCACATCCGAGAAGTTAAAACTGAACATCTATAGAACATCTCACATTAAACATATCTTAGTAGTCTACTTAAAGATGTTAAATGCAATATCCCATCAACATCTCATGAGACATACCTAAGGATATCACATTTTTTTTTATCTATGAGATGTCCAATGTGTAACATCCATGTAACTGTTTTATAATTTTATGTTGGGCTTTCAAAAGCTTTGAAAAATTGGAAATAATAATTAAATGATTCAACACAGGTCATAAAGTACAAAATATTTATTTTTAAAAGTTACATACATAATAGGTATTTACAAAATGTATACCTAACAGAAATTAAATACATTTTATTTTGTATACAATCATTTCAAAGCTATATTGAGTATCAAATGTTCTGAAAAATGTATAATAATACTGAATGAAATATGATTTAACATTAACACAAATAATATAGTATAAAATATTTATTATGAAAAATTACTAATACAATATTCAACAGAATTATGACATTTAAAGTAATTATTCTGTATGCAATAAGTTTAAGGCTACAGCTTGATTTTCTGATATATGGAAAAACAAACACTTATATTTTAAATTTGACAATTCAATTAAACATTTTGGAATTTTAATTTCTGTATTTACCAGAAAATGTCCAATTAAACATAGGAGATAAATTTTCATATTTAGTAACCTCAAGAATTATTTGACCAGAAGAGTTTTTAATTATTTTATCAATAGAAACAATAGCACAGCAATTAAACAAAAAAAAATACTTATCACGTTCTTTAGTAGAACTAACTTTGAAGTTTTTTAGTAAAACATGTTCATACAATGTGGATGTTATATCTCGGTGAATTGAATAGTTAAAATCAATTTCTTTTTTAAGTAACTGATATTTAATGTTAGTTTCTAAATAGATATTTTGTTCAAGAATTCGGTTGTATACGTCTTGAAGAGGGTATTTAGAACTGTGAACAGTTTTTTTAATGATTTGTAAAAAGTTTTCAAATTTAAATGCACTAAACTTGTCAAGTGGATCATGAATCTTAACAAAATTAGCTATATGTATAAGACCATGAACATTATATGTCACATATTCATTACTACAAGTATTATTATCATTAGTAAAAATGTCCAACTTTCCTGGTTGTAGATCTAAATTAAAATTATTATTATTTAATGTTTCATTTGATGATGGAGTTTCTTCAGTACAGACAAATTTCACTAAAGCTGCCATATTCGGAGCTAAAATTGACTGTGGTAAATTGATAGAGGAACCTTCCTTATGATAAATACTTGAAACTGTTCTGTTATAATGCCTCCTCGACATTAAATGTAATGGTTTCATTTTTTTTACCTAAAAATATAAAAATGTATTTACAATTTGGCAGGTATAGGTTAATAATACTAAAAAAATATCTTGTTTAAATACCTATTAACATGTCTCTTTGATAGTAAAAAAAAAGAAATTCTAATTGTTACTGTTAACATTTCAAAAAAGGTTTAAAAGTATTCAATTTAGGAAAACGCACTTGTTTGATATAATAGTGACATAAAAATACATTTTTTTTATAATATTAATTGTTTGAATCCATATTTAATTTATTTTGATTATTTTAATCTATACTGGCTGATACACTTGGTAATTGCCTGGGTTGGGGTGTGTTATTATTTTATAATAGGATACAAGATAATGTGTACAAAGTTACAACCATATCAGTGCAGAATACAATTGGGGAAAGAGTAAAGCCTCTATGTTATGTATTAGGAAATATGATTTTTTAGAATATCCTCCAATAATTTATTATTTACTACAAGTTACACCACTAGAACCATACCTAGCCATAATGTATATTATAGTTTATAAGCTTACTTATTATTACTACACAAATATTTCTGTGAATTCAAATTTTACTGCTTTATGATTTCTTCACGTGCCAAACGTTGGCTTCCATGGCGGAACCAATCCTTCACGTGACACTCAAAGCTACTGTCGTTCATTTGGTAATTATCATAGGCGATTTCTGAAATTATAATAATATTATTTTATTGCAAGTGGGTACATACATTAAATATATGAAAACAATAAATAATTACGTTTTACTATCTTCATAATTTGAAGATTATCTAATCGAAAATTATTCTTAAATCCTGTCCAAGAACATACAAAAGATAATTTATTTGTAAATAGTCTTGAAAGTACTGTTTTGATAAAGTTTTTTAAACTTGTCCCACCAACTGAATGTATAAAATGAGTCTAAAAAATCAACATAATATTTGTATGTAATACAAAACTTAAATTAAATTTTACTATACTTACTAATTTGAGCTTATATTCTTCATTTTGTAAGTTCTCCTCCATATCTTTTATCGCTGCAATATCTTTTAATGGAAACATATTTAAAACCGAATCATCTAATGGCAAGTATTGTGCGCTTGGTGGATGTTTTATATGTTCTAAAAGCACATCTAACTTTTTGTCCAATCTATTCAAGAACATATTTGTTGAATTCATAAATTCTGTGAAAGTGGGCATACTATTGCTAGGATTACTAGATTCTGAAAAAATTGTTTTATTATTATTAAAAATAAAATTGTTATAGGTAGGTATGCTTAATTCAATGTTTACCTTGATAATTTGATAAATCTGAATCGAAATTATACCCTATTGAATGCAATGCATCAGATCTTGTATCTGAAAGAAGTAAAAAAAATTATTAAATATTTTTTTTTTATACACAATTATATTTTTTTTAAGTATAATATAATATTAATAGATATTACCTTGGCTGTTTTTTAGACTACTATCAAAATGTTGATATATCACTCCCCCACGTCTTGCTGTCTCATCATAATTATCACATACAAAAAAAAATTCAACTGTCGTTTTTTAATCAATGTATTAAGTAGATACAACGTGAATATAACCGTATCGTTTTTACCTACAAATAAAATTAATATTTCGAATTTTACCCCACAGGCGCTTATTAGTTATTTAAACTTATTTTACATACCGATTTTGGTATGTTCTGAGGTTATTAATTAAGCAGAGTGCTTATAATAATAATAATATGAATAAAAATTAATACAAGGCTCTTACTATACATGGTGTAACAGAAAGATATGACATATACATATACTGGAAATGTTCCTAAACAGTTCAAAACAAATCAAAATGTTTTGAAAATTTTATCGTGTATAGAAAATGCAATTATAAACTACCAGTGAAAATGTCATGTATATACGTTCATTTGTTTTAGAGTTTAACCAAAAACAAAAATCGATTTTGTCTTATCTTTCTGTTACACCCTGTACATTGACATTTGAAAAATATTAAAAATCCTTTGTCACAGTTTTTTTTTTTATAATCATTTAAAGTTAAAATCTTGACAGAATATGGAAAAATCACGAAAATTAGCAAATTATTTTGAGTTAAGAATTCATAAAAATTTTTATTTTTTTATCTAAGATTTTAAAATTTAATACAAGATTCCTTATGAGATTATCTACCTTTATCAAAAAAAAAAAAAAAAAAAAATGTCTATAAGAAAGGCATATTAAATTTTTATATGCGTTTGAAATTCAAATTTTTACAACATTGGATATTCACTCGATTTCTCATGTAGTGGTTTTCTTATTTTGTTGTGTTTCAAAAAAGAATAACTGTAGATACATGAAAATTTCACTGAATGTTTATTTTATTAATTCATATGTAGTGATATATCAACATTTTGATAGTAGTCTAAAAAACAGCCAAGGTAATATCTATTAATATTATATTATACTTAAAAAAAATATAATTGTGTATAAAAAAAAAATATTTAATAATTTCACATGAAAATTTCACTGAATGTTTATTTTATTAATTCATATACTTGATAAAATTTTCAAAATATTTTGAGTTGTTTTTAGCTGTTTACGGACAATTTCATATTTCAACTTTTTTCAAAGTAATTTTTCAAAATACATTCAGTATTGATTTTACAATGATGAGTGTTTTTTTTTTTATTTTTTATTTTTTTTGTATCTGTCATCACGTTTTATGACAGTAAAAGGGCTTGGATTTTCTTATACTTTGGGGGGGTCAAAGTGGAAATTTCCCAGTAGTTTTCAAAAGCGCCATGAAAAAAAAAAGAAAAATTAAAGAGAAACGGGAATTTTTACGCAAAATCTGTTTTCGAGAAAACCGATTTTGGTTTTTGGTGTAACTTTAAAACAAATGACCGTAGATAAGTGAAAATTTCACTGATTGTTTATATTTGCATTTTCTATACACGAGAACATTTTCAAAATATTTTTATTTATTTTGAACTGTTTAGGGACATTTTCAGTTTCCAATTTTATTAGTTTTTTTTTTTATGAATATAAATAAAAATTTATTAGTTGGTTAAAAAAGATTGAAAATTTAATACAAGGCTCCTACTATATTGTTTCAAAGGCAGATGAAAAATATTAAAAATCTTTAGTCACAGTTTTTTTTATAAGCATTTTAAGTCCAAAAATTGACAAAATATGGAAAAATCACGAAAATTAGCAAATTATTTTGAGTTAAGAATTCGTAAAAATTTTTCTTTTTAAATCTAAGATTTTAAAATGTAATACAAGATTTCTTATAAGATTTTCTACCTTTATCAAAAAAAAAATGTCTATAAGAAAGTCAAATTAAATTTTTATGAGCGTTTGAAATTCAAATTTTTACAACATTGGATATTCACTCGATTTCTCATGTAGTGGTTTTCTTATTTTGTTGTGTTTCAAAAAAGAATAACTGTAGATACATGAAAATTTCACTGAATGTTTATTTTATTAATTCATATACTTGATAAAATTTTCAAAATATTTTGACTCTTTTTGAGCTGTTTACGGACATTTTGAATTTTCAATTATTTTAGTTTTTTTTTCTATAAATATCAATAAAGTTTTATCGGTTGGGCCAAAAAGTGTACAAATTTAATACAAGGCTCCTGATATATTGTCCATTATTTATATTTAGTTTACAGAACGTTAAAAATATTATACAATTATTACACAAAAATATTTATTGTTAATATTATAGTTATACACAAGAAAATTCACCGAGCATGATAATACCCATTTCAATAAAAAAAAAAGAAATGCTCTGCTGTACAGTATAGGCTACTAGTGGGTCACTGTATAATGGATGGTATTAAATTTGAACTCAATGATATAATATGGATATCATTGTATAAGAAAAACGATTCTGAGCGGAGACGGTATGTCAGTCTAACTACTTACGTAGAATTTTGTTTTAAATTTTCAATCTTTAGATATAAAAGATGAACATTTTATACATTTTTAACTAGGTACAAAATAATTATTAAATTTTATCAAAATTCGATCGTTAAATGCTTATAAAAAAAAATTGTGCCTATGTATTTTCAATATTTGCTATGTTTTAACTGCTATGTAACAATATATCAGGAGCCTTGTGTTAAATGTTTACACTTTTTGGCCCAACAGATAAAACTTGATTGATATTCACAGAAAAAAAAAATAAAAAAGTTGAAATATGAAATTGTCCGTAAACAGCTAAAAACAACTCAAAATATTTTGAAAATTTTATCAAGTATATGAATTAATAAAATAAGTGTTAGATAGATTTAACACAAAAACCAGGAAAATTGTTTTAAAATAATAGATTATAATATGTTATCTAAATAGTTGTTATTAGTTATTGTAATTAATTATTAATTATAATGTTTTTAGTGATTGTTTATTAATATTGATCAATATGAAAATATCAAATGTGTCATCATATAAATTAATATATGAAATTGAGTTATAAAAGCATGTTGTGCTTTGAAATTGTGTGTTGGGAGGGGGGCAAATCCCCCCACGAGTTACCAAGGTATACTAAATTTTAGCACCCCTTAAATTACAGGTCTAGTTGCGCCTATGGATGTACATCGATGTAATCGCATATAACTCGCTTGTAATACGCGCATCTCACATATGTATATATTTAACGGGGCGTTTGAAAAACGTTTTCCGTTAATAATAAAATTATTAAATCATAGGGAAAAATTAAATTATACACGTATATACATGTAGGTACCTATATATACGCGTACGGTCGGTCGGTCGCCGGCGTAATTGCGATTGCGAGGCAAACGAACCGATTTCGGGGGAAAAGCGCATATAAACGGCTTTGAAAAGACGTCGACGATTCGGGCACAAACGGCGTGCGAATAGACGAAACGGTGTGAGAAAAGGAAAAAATCGGCAAAAAAAGTCCGGTCGGGAGTGTATTTTTCGGTCGACATTGCGACCGCTTCTGACGGCGCACGAATATAAACCACCGCACACCGGCGGCTTCGAATTAAGTAT